CTAGATCTATTTTTAAAACTTTGTGATGACCGCGGAGAACAACAAATGAATTGGCGCACCCAACAGTGTAACGGCTTCACGCTCCGGATTAGGCCTCTCGCTGTGGCTTCAGAGTAGTAGCAGCCCCAGTTTAGTGGAGCAGAGGGCCTAAATGCGGACGGCCCCTTCTGTTTTTGGCCCGTCTTGTCTGGCGCGCGGTGGTTCGGCCAGGCGAGCGGAGCGGCCATGGCGCCGCGGCCCAGTGGGTGATAACTGCCGACCATCGCGGGGGGGAGGAGGATCCCCGCCGCAGGGGGGCTGCAAACTAGCGGCAGGAAAATGGATATACACCGCTCGGGGCTGTAAAAAGAAAAGAGAGGGAGAGAGAAGAGAGACTAATGCTCCCGCCAGCCATAAAGTGGTGTCGGTTGTTTGCGGAGATTATAGCGTATCTATCGAGAGGGCGGTCGATAGCCGCGCGGTGGTGTGCGTATCTCTCGCTCGGACGGTAGTTGTTGGCGTCCTCAGGACGAGCGGCGAGTGAGCGCAGCGCGGCGGTAGCGCGCTCGCCATGTGGTAGGCTAGCTAGCTAGGCGGCCGCGAACGAACGACGGCTCTCGGTATCGGGCGGGGAGAATTCCCCTATCTCACCAGCCCCGTTTCCACTTTATTTGAGAACCGCGAAGTAGGTCCTGTCAATCATTTGCGTCGCGCTTGCCTGACGGGCGTGGGTTTTTCTTTCCACTCGACGATAATTGTCTTTTTGCGTGCTCGAGTTTAGCTTGGTGTTTGTTTCGAGCGCTTTGTAACACTTGTTTGTGTCCTCCAGGACGGCGGCGGTGCTGGCGGCGTGCTCCTGCTCGGGGCGAGCGCCGGCGACGAGTCGTCCACGGACGGCGACATGGGCGACGTGGACGAGTGGGGGCTGGTGTCGTGCGACCCGCCCTCGCCCTGCACGGTCGTGTTCGAGGGCAGCAACGTCATCATCAACGGCCGCAGCAACCTGCGCAAGCAGCAGTCACCCCGGCAGCCACGCAAGGTGAGTGTCAGGTCAGGCCCGCGGCTGTTGACCGGGTGGTGGCCGCGCGGTGGACTGTACCTTCTCTGCAAATCTCTCTGCGACGTCGCGTCGTATCGCAGCCGGGCTTAGCTCCTCTGCTGTTGCGTTGCCTTTGAGCCTCCGCGAGCGCGTCAGTCTCTCCTCGGCACAGCTCTGCTCTGGATGTAGGCTCGCAAACAGGACGCCTTTTCACATTGTGAGTACGGGATACTTAAATAAAGGGAGGGGGGAGGGACGGATGGACCCGTGCCGTCTTTGCCGCATGGAGATCATTTGTAGAACTGACGTCGGCGAAACGCAGCAGCGCCTTTTCTCCCGCCTGGCACGCAGCACGCGGTCGCTTGCTGGCGGTCGGCGGTCGGTTTGAGTTCAGCGCCAGCCTGAGCTGGTGTCGGTGTCGGTGCTGACCGACCCGAAGCCCGTTCACCCGCCCCGCCGCGAAATAGACGCGGGGAAGCTTGACCCTGTTTTATTTGGGCACGCAAACTAGGCGCGTCGTGGTTGCTGGGCGGCCCCCCTCAGCGCGGCTCTAGCACCACCGCTCCAATGGCGCGGCTCTCCGGCAAAGGCTCTCCGGCAAAGGCTCTCCGGCAAAGGCTCTCCGGCAACGGCTCTCCGGCAACGGCTCTCCGGCAACGGCTCTTCGGCAACGGCTCTCCGGCAACGGCTCTCCGGCGGTTCTCCCCCCGGCACGGCTTGAGCCATTGTTCGAAGTATAATCGGCGCGGCGTGGCGGCGGGTCGGGTCGGGGCTGAGACAAACAGAGCGGAGAGTGAACTGAGGAAGATCCACGCCCCGCCCCGCCCCGCCACTCCGGGAGGGGCCTACCTACCTACCTCCTACCTCCTGCCGCCACCCGCCACCCCTCCCCGCGACACGGAGCGCTCACGTTCGGCTGCAGGCGCCCCGCGCGCTGCCGCCGCATTGCTGTCGTCGTGTCCCCGCATTCCTGGAGTGAGACCAGGAACCTGGACCGCGTCTGTAGAGGAATCCCTCCCTGTACTTGGCGTGTTTGCTCCATATCGGGGCATCCGTCGGCGGCGGCGGCGGCTGCGTTGGAGGAGGGAGTGTGTGTCGGTACGCGGCCCGATCGGCCGCGCGGGTCCGCTCGCCTATCTTACTATACTACTTTCGCTGGGTTGAGGCCCCAGCAGCGCCGGGCCGGTCACGCGCGCGCCCCCCGCCGCCGCCCCGCCGCCGCCCCGCGCGGTTTTGTGCCGTTTGCATCGCTACCCCGGGCCGTGCGGGTCGCGACCCCGAGCCCTGGCGGCCCTGGCGGTGGCGCCCTGCCGCCGCTGCTGGACCACCCACGCCAGGGGGCGTTGTCGTACCCTCCAGGCCCAGGCCGGAGGGTAGGCACGCGGGGTAGCGACGACGCCGAGCCGCGGGCCTCCGTCGAATGGCAAACGGATGAAGAGGGACGACTGACTCGTCTCTCGTATCTTTTAATGACGGCCGTTAAGCCCCGCGACTACCGTGTCGTTGAGCGGGCCGCCGCCGAGGCTTGGGCACTCGCCTCATCCACAGGCCATTGTTTGTTTTACCCTCTGCGGTTACTGCCCGCGGCGTTGTTACATAGTTCGACGTGTTCGGGATCGCCATTTTTTCGCCATTGCCCCTTTGAGGGAGGGCTGTTGCTGCCCAGTGCCCCGAGAGCTATAGCCCCCTTGCCCTTCGCGGGTTCAGTGCTCCCCGCCCGGTCGGCGTTTGTTTCGCGTGCCGCCGTCAGTCAAACAGACCGGGGCAGCTGCTGCTGCAGGTGCGGCAGGTGCGCCGGGGCAGGTGGCCCAGCTGGAGCATTTCTCATCGCGGCGCTGCTCCTGTCTTGTCCGTCCGTCGGGAGGCCCCGGATGAGTGAAAGTTCTCTCCCCCCTGCGAAGGTGATGATGAGCGCGCGACGGTGCGACCTTGTAGTGTGAGTGCGTGTGAGCGCGCAGCCGCCACCTGTCGTCCTGCTGCCGGTCCACATCTCTCCGGGCCGTGTGCATGTGTGCGCGTACGCATACCCTCGGCCCGGCCCGCTGCAGGCCATTCCAAAGTGATTTGGCGCGAGGAGAGAGGCCGGGCAGGGCAGGGCTGGCCCAGTGCGCGGGGGGGGGGAGGGCCTTTCACTCGGGTGGCTTCCGTCACGTGCCGGCGGAGGCCCGCGGAGCCCAACCCGCGGCCCCGGCGGCCCCCGCGCAACGGCCCACTCAATACCTTTGTGTCGAATGGCGGCAGTAAAGACTTCCGGCCTCTCTTTGCCTTTTCCTACTCGCCGCCCCCGCTGCCGCCGCCGCCCCTGCCGCCGCGCCGGGCGGTCCGCGCGCTCGCTGCTACTTGCATCACTTCCAGCCAGCAGCAGCAGCAGCCAGTCGTTACGCTGTGGGACATGACGGTGTCGGTGAGGTTGCCGAAAGGAAGCGACCGCTCCCTCGCTTTGTGTTATCTCGCACCGAACGTTCGCGCGGGGTCAGAGGGGGAGCGGGGCGTTGGCGCGTCTCTCGCGGGGGCGGGGCGCCGCTGCCGCCGCTCCGCGCGTTGAATACGCATGCCGCGCTCAGCAGTTTGCCATACCGGGGTTTGTTTTTCCCGCCGCCTCACGCGTCTTGATGAGGAGGCGGGCGGATGAAGGGCGCTGCTCGGGGCGGGGATGGCTGTCGTGGCGCCGCGCAGAGCCGCGCCAGCAGGCTCCTCCGGGGCACCTTGATTAGCGGGGCGGG